ACTTTAAGACCAAGCGGAGGTCTTGATTTAACAAACAAATAATATTGCAAAATACGGTAACACCAACATCATGAATGAATAATACACAATATACATCACCTAATTAATATTCATGAGCCAGGCTGATAAGGTTTATAACGGTTAAGTTAATGTTGTGAAGTTTTTTTTTTAACTAAAATGACGTTTTGCAAAAATCAAAATTCATAGAAACATGTTATATGCAATTTTTTTTGTTGAAAATTTGACAAAATACCCTGACATAACTAAACAAAAACATCTACTGTACCTTGGCATTTTCCTATGATGGATCCAAAGTCATCTCTAGCTGACCTGAAAGAGAGCATGAAGCACATTAGAAGCACGTCGATAAATAAGGCCCAAGGAGTTTAACTATGACGATAACAATAAAGATATTGTTCTAAAAAACGTTCTAAATATAAACTAACAACAGAAATATAATGATAAAGGGCACAGAGAAACAATATCATTGGAATCACCTTCAGAAAGATTTTTTTCCAGCTGATGAATAATGAAAACATTGCCAGCCAATCAGAATCAACTCTACTTTAAAGAACTCAAGCATTTAAAGCAACAAAACTGCAGCGCAAGCTTAGAATAAACAGAACAACATCACCCGCTAGTGTGGATGCTAATATAGTTATCGTCTTGGTGTGAATACATGAGTGTTTTGAATTCACATCAGCCTCAGTAAGTAAATGTAGTAGAATGGGGAGAAACTATAGGTTTTTTTAGATTAAGAAATTTGATATTTAGGGGTTGTTTTCAGAACATCAGGCTCCGAATTTCTTAAACCACGAAGCGTGACACTTTCAATTCTGTGTGAGCTGATTAGCTGGTGCTGGCGTAATAAATCACACCTACTGAAACTGAATTGTACATGAAAACACACATATATTTAAAAATACATCATCTGTGCCAAATCATCAATCTCAGAAATAGCTTTGCTCAGTTGAACAGCACCCGAGACAAGAGGGTGAAAAATTAACCAATTATAGAAAGGGCAAACATTTCCAATCGATGTGCAGAATTACCTAATTTCCACGCATTGGTCCTGAACCACAGCCAGGAGCTTCCCATTACTGCACAGAAGAAAAATAAATAAATATATAAACGAAATGGGGGAAAAGAAGACAGAATGATTGTGTAAGCAAACACGGGGCCAAAAATAAACATTTCTAACACAGAGAACATTCTCTTCCATCTGGAAATCAATAGCTAATTAAAGCTTGCCATCTCTGCTTATGTTGCACTGTTTTGCATAACCAGATAACTGGCAGGAACAAGAACAGTGTGGAAAAAAAATGAGTTTGATTGAGATTACGTGGCTTGCATCCACAAACAGATGTTTAATTCAAATTGGATATCTCACAAGAACCAAAGCACACAAAATAATGATTTCCTGAAAACCCACGAAACGTTTCAGGTTGCGCATGTAACCATGGTACCCTGAGAAGGGGAACGAGACACTGCATCCTCTAGAGGTCATGCTGGAGGCGTTCCCCAAAACGTTCTCTAGAGGACGCAGTGAGAGTTCCCCTTCTCAGGGTACCATGGTTACATGAGTAACCTGAGACGTTCCCCTTCTAATGACAACATGCAAACAAATAATCCGTTAGTAATCAGATTGGCGGCTCAACAGGACTGAAAAGCCTTCACGTAAACACCTAAATCAATCCGATTGAGCATGGTCCGAATTAAATTTCGATCGGATTGAAAGGAGTGGTTTGTTCCTTTTGTAATCCGGTCGAGAGAACATGTAAACACTTGATCGGATTGAAAACCGAAACTGAAAGGACTGCACATGTGCAATGACGTAAAGTGTCATATAAATGAGTGTCCCGTCATCCTAAAATTCTCCTTTCACTCAGCGTCTGTGAAGTGGATCAGAACAACTTCCCACCAGTCCTTGTTTCGGTCTCACATCCACAGACGACTGGTTTTGGGCGCGGGAAGGGGCATTTTCACTGCGTGATAAATAGGCTCTAAACAGCACAGCACAACGGTTCATATGCTCATTTACACAGAATTATGACCAGAAATGGATAAATATTAAGTCTGCTGTTTAAAACAATGTAAGAGAATAGTTAGTATGTGCAAACAGCGGGGAAACGCTGTATTCGTGCAGTGTGCGAATGTCAAAAAATCTATTCCGATTTTAAGCTTGTGACATATAAACGTGCACATCAACCCAATCACATGTTCAGTATTCATGTAAACACTACATTCAGATTCATCATACAGAATAAATTCAGTCCGATTGAAACAAAAGTTGTGCATGTAAAATTAGCCAGTGTCTCGTTCCCATTCGAAAGGGAACGTCTCAGGTTCCTCATGCAACCATGGTTCCCTGAGAAGGGGAACGAGACACTGCATCCTCTAGAGGTCACGCTGAAGGCGTTCTCCAAAATGTCCACTGGAGGACGCAGTGCGAGTTCCCATTTTAAAGGAAAACACTGTTGTTGCAGTTATAATGAACCTAAAACAACTGTAGACCCAAAATAGTCTAAATTAGGGGCACAGTATCTTATTCACTTCAGTAAGGCTGAGTCAATGAGGTGAGGATGATCAATATGCAGCACATGCTGAAGCATGAAGTGCAAAAGAGCTTTTCACACTGTAGATGAACCTGCCAAAACATGCCTGGAATAGACTGACCCAAACTCTCTGTAAAGCTTTTATGGTATTACCTTGCCAGCACCAATTGCCAGTTCACTTGTTTGGTTGCGAGGCGAACCAGCCCAGGTGGCAGAGTTGAACTGGAGGGGCTGAAATACAGAGAACAGTACAGTACAGTACAGAGACTTTACTGACAAGGCACATTAAATTGATCAAAAGTGACAGCAAATACATTTACCCATTTACAAATAAATGCTGCTCTTTCTGGTTAAGGAATCCTGAAAACAAATGTATCATGTCTACCACAAAAATATTAAGCAGCACAACTGTTTTCAACATTGATAATAATAAGAAATGCTTCTTGAGCCCAAAATCAGCATATTAGAATATGGTTTCTGAAGGATCATGTGACACTGAAGCCTGGAGTAATGATGTTGAAAATCAAGTTTTACCATAACAGGACTAATTTACATTTTAAAAAATATTAAAACAGAGAACAGATATTTTTAAATATTGTAATAATACTGTATTTTTAATCAAATGCAGCCTTGATGAGCTTGATCTATTATCAATTCTAAATACATTATGCTTCACTGTTAACACAACAAGAGGAGAGGATATCTCACCTGTACCAAAGGTAGTGCAGAATGAACCTAAAGGGTCCTGGAAGACACAATATTTAGATTTTTAACTATCATTCAAATAATATGACTGCCATTTTATGTAATTGTAGGAGTAATGCAAACCAGCTTATACAGACTTTAAGAAATATAAAAAGTGTTGTTATTGTTACCTAAATTAACATAAATTAATTAAAATAAAGGTAAAATTTTGAATATTAGATGAAAAAATGTAAAAATGTGAACTTTGAACAAATATTGCCCTGGCAACTAACTGAATTAAGTGAAAGTACTAAAAAATGCAAATGCTATATAGAAATATAAAAAATATATATTAAATGGAAAAAAATACTAAAACTGAAAATATACATAAGCTCATTCGAAATTAATTAATACAAATTATGATATAAATAACACAAAAATAACAATAAAAAATAAGAGGAAAAAATCATCTAAATTGTTTTTAATAAAAATAATAATTATACATTCTTAATATTTCTCATGATTAAACTGGAAATAATCTGACTTCACAAATAGATTTATAAGCAACTTGATTTGGACTACAAAATGTATGTGATTAGGATCAGGTATTGTATTATTCCAAAGAAGTTTATTTGATATTGAGTAAAGATGTCTGGAAAATAAACACATTCACGTTGCAACACTGTTCTCTGTAAAGCTACTTTGGAATGATGGCTGTCTCAAGCATGTGAGCTGCCGACCTAGACAACATTGGCATTGATTGCAGTCTTTACAATCTTTACCTAACTAACTAACCTAAGACATGTTCAATATTAGTGACTATAATTATGCAACCCCTCCGGATTTATATATATATATATATATATATATATATATATATATATATATATATATATATATATATATATATATATATATATATATATATTACTACATCTTGCTAACATGTTGTGCATCCTATCCTTGCTATTCATACCTGTTACTGCCTTTGCAACCAGTGAAGAGTTGTGTTCCTTCAATCCACGTAGCTGGGGGAAATAAATCAAACACAAACAGCATGATTTTACACTCACAGTATCATGTATCTACAGGACTGTTTGTATCAGCTGGCACTAGCCTGTTAAATGGACAATTTAAGCATATCAACTTGCACCTACTACCAAAACAAGCAGCTGGAGATTATACGTGACAATATACAAATACATGTATATATGAGGAGCTGTAAATCATCATGAAGATATTTATTACATAATAAAAATATTTACAGAAAATAAACCCTGGATGATGGAACTTGGTTACGTGGCTCAAAACAACTTGCGCAGAACTGATCTGATATAAAACATGTACATATTTAAATATCGGGTAAGAAAGTCATTTATTCAAAGAGAGTTGGAATATTTCGACAAACCTGCGTGTCTGTTTCGGATGGCCATTCTGTGTTAACAAGTAAATCATATAATATATTCTCCTCTTCGTCTTCCAGAATATTATCACCTGCCATGTTTTCAATGAACTGGATGGCACCCACGTCACACTACGGCGGCCTGCGAGGTACATATAAAAGGGCCGATGATCTTTTCAATTTTGCGTCTGATTATCTATAAGTTGTTTTCTCAACGTATATGTAATTAAAATATTAATGTTATTAATTTTACATTTACTTTATATATGTTCTGTCATAAAAAACAAGATCAGCGGAACTGAAGCGAGGAAGCGCAATCCGCACGGACCGGTTTTTCCTACTAGCACCCTGTCAAAGGAAACCAGCAGCACACGTTACATCCGGTGAGAGACTCGCAGTCGCAGGAGTTTGACACCATGGCAGCTTATGGCGGTGAGATTTACCTGTCAACATTTATTAATAAATTGATTGTGGTTAAACTGTTTGTGAAATTGTATCTGCTTGTTTTAACTTACAGAAATGGGAGTAATGCCTGAAATTGCACAGGCGGTGGAAGAAATGGACTGGCTGTGAGTTGTCTCCCAGTTCAAGGGTTTTCAATATTTTTGACCACACTTCGAAAACTGTCATAGTTCTTACACGCCTCATAAGTTAGTTATTCATGCATAATTAAAGTAGGTATTGATTTGATCTTCTCTTTCAGGTTGCCAACAGACATTCAGGCCGAATCCATCCCGTTGATTCTGGGTGGAGGAGACGTGCTTATGGTGAGATCACCATCATAACCAGTGGTGTGTGTGTGTGTGTGTGTGTGTGTGTGTGTGTGTGTGTGTGTGTGTGTGTGTGTGTGTGTGTGTGTGTGTGTGTGAGAGAGAGGGAGAGGATCACCACCTCTATACTCACCTGTGTGTTTATGCTCACAGGCTGCTGAGACTGGGAGTGGAAAAACTGGAGTAAGTGTGAAACCTTTCTCATAAATCTGGTGACTGTGCACTTAGTTATGAAAAATATACTGTATATGATATTTTATTAAATATATTATATATACAATGTATAGGATCAGTGAAATGTGAACACAAAATGAATGTGGTCTTGTAGGCCTTCAGTATTCCAGTCATCCAAATAGTCTATGAGACCCTTAAAGACCAGCTGGAGGGGAAGAAGGGACGCAGTGCTGTGAAGGCAGGAGGAGCAGGTATTAAACTATAATATCATCCTTCAACTAATATATATACATAGCCGCTCATATTTTACATTGACATACCATCAATAAGATTTTTTTTTTTTTTTTTTAAGAAATTTGTTCAACAGAAGACAATTAAACATGATTAACTTTACCTTCAATGTCTGAAGTATTTTTTTTTTTGAGTCGGCTAGCGAATTTCATTCCAGAAACTACTTTCCTGACATTTGCTCTCATATATTTGATTATTATTTTCAATTCATTGATTGTTGTTCCTGGATTTGTTGTCCACCCCAGTTTTCAATAAATGGCAGATGAACCCCTATGACAGAAGTCCAGCATTTGGTAAGTGTTTAACACTTATGTAAAAGGCCTAGCCTGGATTGATCCTGTACTCTTCATTGTTATTCTGCAATCTTATTTTAATATCTTTGTTGCAACAAAATTATTATATTACCTTTTTTTTTTCTTCAGCTATTGGTGCTGATGGCCTGTGCTGTCAGAGCAGAGAGTTCAAAGAATGGCATGGCTGTCGTTCAACCAAAGGAGTCACAAAAGGTAAGAGATCATCCTTTTTGAGTTTTCTGTCTAAAAACTAAGGGAATCCTGTAAGATTCATTCTTAACTCCTTTTTCTCCAGGGAGGTATTATTATGAAGTGACCTGTCACGATCAAGGGCTGTGTAGGGTGGGCTGGTCTTCTGCCCAGGCATCACTGGACTTGGGTATGTTTCAGTATGACCTCATTACATTGATCTGGTTATAACGTAACTTCAGTTATAATAATGTTTGTTATTCTGTTTTTAACCCCTCTCTTAGGAACGGATAAATATGGATTTGGCTTCGGGGGAACTGGAAAGAAATCTCACAATAAGCAGTTTGACAGTTATGGAGAGGTAAGGCATAATCAGGGCCTTTGATTTGATACTCCAGTTTTAGAGGTTTGACATGATTTATGTCTTTTCCAGGAATTCACTATGCACGACACCATCGGATGCTACATAGATGTGGATAAAGGCCATGTGTCATTCTCTAAAAATGGTTAGTTTTGTTTTATCCCTTTGAGATATTTGTATTAAATAAATGAATAACATTTCATATAATTGAGCATGTTGTCATATATATGGCATGTTGAATGTCATTCAGGTCACACTTCTGAACTGGGTCAGTAAGATGTTTTTTTTTTTAATGCTTTTATTTAGCAAGGACGGAATAAATTGATTAAAAGTGACATAAGATATTTATAAAGATTTCTATTTCAAATAAATGCTGTTCTTTTGAACTTCTATTAATCAAAGAATCCTGAAAAAAAATTTTATTAAGCAGCACAACTGTTTTCAACATTGGTAATAATGAGAAATGTTTCTTGAGCATCAAATCGGCATATTAGAATGATTGCTGAAGGATCATGTGAGGCTGAAGACTGGAGTAATGATAAAATGATAAATTCAGCTTTGCCATTACAAGAACATGATTTTTTTTCCTTCTTTTTTTTTAATGGAACAGTTATTTTAAATTGTAACAAGCCTTGGTGGTGAGCATATGTGACTTCCTTCAAAAACATTAAAATCTTACTGACCCCAAATTTTGAAACTAGTGTACATCTATAAATGTTTTGTATCACAATATTTCTTTAGTACCAGTGTACTATGCAGCCTTTAATGCAAATGCCACTGTAATTCCTGATTGGCTTTCCCAGGTAATGATCTGGGTTTGGCTTTTGAGATTCCTCAGCAGCTGAAAAACCAGCCCTTCTTTGCTTCCTGTGTGCTGAAGGTATCTGGCATATACACAACTAGCTACTCTTTACATATAATAAAAACCCTCTCGTTGCTACGTAATGTTTCTCTTGCACACCAGCTATTCTTAAAATGTGTATTTGTGTCAATCAAACACAGAATGCTGAACTGAAATTCAACTTTGGCGATGAACCTTTAAAAAACCAACCTAAAGATGGATATGTGGCCCTAAACCAGGCTTCAGATGGTCATGTGGTTAAATCCAGCCAGACAGGTGAGCTTCAAATCACAGTCATTTCTTACTGCCTGCAGGGCTTGTATTAATGTTTTCTTGCATTCTTCCTGCCATGTGTTCTTGTCCTCAGGGAGTGCTAAAGTGAGTCAGGTCAAATCCAGTTCTAACGCCCCCAAAGCTCTCATCATTGAGCCGTCTAAAGAGCTGGCTGAACAAACCCTCAATAATGTCAACCAGTTCAAGAAACATGTTGACAATCCCAAACTAAGGTGAGCTGAGATTGACATAGGAGCTGCAGTGACTTTGATTATTGTAGTGTCTGGTGATGGTTTGGCGTTAACTGAACATCATGATGTTATTGCAGGGAACTTCTGATAATTGGTGGAGTGGCTGCTAAAGAACAGCTCTCCGTTTTAGAAAGCGGGGTAAGTGTCCAAACTAAGTATACAGTACTGTCCAAAAGCTTGGGGTTAGTAAGAATTTAGGATGCATTACATGGATCAAAAGTGACAGTAAAGACATATTTCTATTTCAAATAAACGCTGTACCTTTGAACTTTCTATTCATCAATGAATCCTGTAAAAATCACAGTTTTCACACAAAAAAAGAAAGTTAAAAGTAGCACAACTGTTTTCAACATTGATAATAAGGAATGTTTCTTGAACACCAAATCAGCTTATTAGAATGATATCTGAAAGATCATGTGACACTAAAGACTGGAGTCGTGGTGGTCTTGGACTGAAAAAGGTTGAAGACCCCTGTCTTAGACTATAATATAGAATTCAAAACATTAGACTATAATACACTTTAGAACCATTTACAACATTAAACAAAGTTTACATGTATCTTTCTGTATGAATACTTTATCACTTGATTGTCCTTTTAGGTTGACATTGTGGTTGGGACCCCAGGAAGACTGGATGATCTCATATCCACAGGAAAGCTGGATCTATCCCAAGTCCGCTTCCTGGTGCTGGATGAGTGTGTATGTTGAACACTTAAGCTTATGCAATTCTGTACAGTTTAGCATTAAAGGAATAGGAGTTCTGTTGACAGCATTCATGCTTTTGATTTCACTGTAAATAACTGTAAAGTTTATTTGAAAAAATGCACCTAAAATTGTTCAGGATGGACTTCTCTCAGCTGGCTACACAGACTTTATCATGAGGGTCTACAACCAGATCCCTCAGGTGACCTCAGACGGCAAGAGACTACAGGTGATCAAAGCTCTGATGTCTGTTTTCCATGAATATGCATTAGACTTGTCAGCTACAGTTCTTCATAAATGAACCACGTGTGTTTTGTAGGTGATTGTTTGCTCTGCCACGCTGCACTCATTCGATGTAAAGAAGCTCTCAGAGAAGATCATGCATTTCCCCACATGGGTGGATCTGAAGGGAGAAGATTCGGTACCAGAAACGGTCCATCACGTGGTGGTGCCAGTCAACCCAAAAAATGACAGGCTTTGGGAGAAACTGGGAAAGAGCCACATCAGGGTACATGTCTAGCAAACATCACACTTCATTATGCCTTTGCCTAAATGTACAAAAAGTCTAAATCAGTGAGGTTGTCTTCCCAGACGGATGAAGTTCATGCCAAGGATGACACACGACCTGGAGCCAACACCGCAGGTACGAATCATCCAGAAATTTATGAAGGGTTCCATGCTTGTATTGTCAATTGTGAACATTTCAAAAGGACCTTGACTTGGTCTGATATAAAGGTCTTGCAGTGAATCATTTGATATGGCTTTATCAGAGATGTGGTCAGAGGCCATTAAGATTCTGAAGGGAGAGTATGCGATCAGAGCCATTAAGGAGCATAAGATGGATCAGGCCATCATCTTCTGCAGGACAAAGATCGACTGCGACAATATGGAGGAGCACTTCATCAAGCAGGGAGGAGGTAAGACAGGCTTTTAGCATCATTATTGAACAGCCATTATATGCCATCACATCTGGATGTAAACATTTGGCTTTTACTACAGGTCCAGACAAGAAAGGACACCAGTTATCTTGTGTCTGTCTTCATGGTGACCGGAAACCAAATGAGCGCAAATATAACTTGGAGCGATTCAAGGTAAAGAAAAAATGAATAAATCGTGCCATTGAATAACTTAATTAATTATAGTCAGTTCTTATAAAAGTATTCTTTTATCATCCTCACTTTAGAAACAGGAAGTGAAGTTTCTGATTTGCACAGATGTGGCAGCTAGAGGAATCGATATCCGTGGTGTTCCTTATGGTAAGAAGGAGGGCCAGCATTTCTCTCATTTCAGACGACTGATACTGATCATGTTCTCTTTTTACGTTTCCTATAACTAGTATACAGATTGATTTTTTATTATCATTGTTTTTTGCCACAATAATAACTATTAGTAATATATATATTTTTAATATTATTAATTGAATGTTTATTTACTGTATTTAATAGGGGTGTAACGATACTCTCATGTCACGATTCGATACATATCACGATCCTGAACTCACGATACGATATTTTTGCGATACTCCAAGACATATGGTTAAAGATTAAAATGCTAAATTTGATATTACATTGTGGGTGTAAATGAATAGGCTTGGACTTGGTGCTGGAAACCTAATGCACAGGACAATAGAGACACTAGAATCAAAAATATTGATGATTCTGAAGCTGAAAATACAGAATTATTTTAGACGAACATGCTTTCACTCTGACTAGATATATTTAAAATAATGTAGGCCACGTTTTACTGGCAACATAAGACGTTTGGCATTATCAGGATCCACAAATATTCCCCCATTGCATTATTATACATTATATTCAACATTATAGTTTAATGTAGTACTTAGAAACTCTGTAAACTTGAATTTTTTCCTCGCATAGTCATTTTAATTTTGGGTGAACTAAACACAATACATATTGTCACTATCCACGATACATATTGTTGCATTTTTGTATTGCGATATATTGTGACACGATATATTGTTACACCCCTAGTATTTAATTAAAAAAAATTGTATTATTTATTTTGGTTTTATTATTAAATAAATCATCATTAATTTATAAATGGATGAATATACTATTAATATTCATGCCAATTTGATTTGCAAAATGATTGCAATTGTTTAACTGTCAAGGTTAAAATGCTATGATTGACTCTTACTTAATTTATGCAAATAATAAATGCATAACCCATGAACAGTTGTTTTCTGTTAAATGCACAGAGGTGCAAAATGGTGTTGTTGGGTGCTGTTTAACAAATCCAGCAACGTGTCATTTATTAATAGATAAAAAAAGTTAAAAATTCAATCAAGCCTATCTGAAATGAATTAAAAAACGGAAAATTGCAATATTGTGTTCTGTTCTGCAGTGATAAACGTGACTCTGCCGGATGAGAAGCAGAACTATGTTCATCGCATTGGAAGAGTTGGCAGAGCGGACAGGTGACGGCCAGCGTTTGTTTTGTATCATTACGTGTAGATTGCAATCTGTCAGTGTTTGTGTGAATATTTGTGATGTCTCTACAGGATGGGTTTGGCTATATCCCTGGTTGCAATGGAGAAAGAGAAAGTAAGTGGGAAGTACAGGAGAACTGGTGTAAAAGTATAAATGTATTTTGATTTTGTGTTGTTAATTGTGTGTTTGTGTGTGGGGGTGGTGCACACAGGTGTGGTACCACGTTTGTGCCAGCAGAGGGAAAGGCTGCTACAACACCAGACTCAAAGAGAGCGGAGGATGCACTATTTGGTACAACGAGAAAGAGGTGAGAACTGCATTTACATGACATTAACAATATTCTAGCTTATTTTATCCTTATTCTAATTGTGCTTCTGTTTTAGTTGTTGTCAGAAATCGAGGAGCATCTGAAATGTACCATTACTCAGTGTGAACCTGACATCAAAGTACCTGTTGATGAATTTGACGGCAAAGTGACGTACGGGCAGCGCAGGGCTACGGGGGGTGAGTGTTTTCAGATGTCATGTTTGTAGGCCATTCACGTTGTATTTCTATAACTTATCTCCATATCTATTCCCACCCCCACACCCCAGGTGGTCTCTATAAGGGCCATGTGGATATATTGGCGCCGACCGTACAGGAACTGGCCAACCTGGAGAGAGAGGCACAAACTTCCTTCCTTCAACTCAGCTATCTGCCCAACCAGCTCTTTAAAGCATTCTAGAACACACTCAAATAATCGCAAATGAAGACGCTAGAAGACAAGAATGTTCATCACTAAGTTTACGTAATGTATTTAATTTCTGGTTCATGTGGTTTGAATGCAAATTTCAAATTTGCTTGTGCTATTATTGACTTTTTTTGATCAAATGATTATCGATTTTCTTTAATATTTTAAATATTGAAGAAATGTAAAAATTGGTTTTGTTTTTCCAAAGCATTGTTAATTATGCAAGTGGTCAACCTGAAATAAATGAAAAGAGCATAATGCTTCTGTTTTCTTCAGTTATTGTGTTTAGAACATATAAGCAGAGCTCATCTTTTCAGTATTTGAGAAAACTCAGGTGAAATTTAAATTTAATCAAATGCAAAGAGGCAGTTGATGGAAAATTGTATTTTTTACTAAAACTATCCAAAAATGTAATATTTTTAATATTATTTTCATATAATTAGAGCTAAATAATCTTTTATTATTTATATTTTAATATATTTGATTATACTATAGGCTACTAATCACAATAAGCGTACGTTAAATAACGTACGCCAAATAACAAGCACATGAAAATTAAAGATTTTTTCAAACAATATTTTAAAATGCTGAAAAAAGTTTGTTTATATTAAATGTATATGATTATGTAATCTATAGGGTTTTTTGCCTAATAATGCAACAATTTCAGTCAACCATACTCACTATGCTCCAGTGCCTAATACTAACACTAGATGGCGGGCTTGTCCTAATGGAGAGACGTCCACTCTCTTAGAACTGCTGAGACGTCCATTGTACGGTTCATGTCATACGCACTACTTCTATTTATAGTAGAGAAAAGTCCAAAAGAGGGCAATAAAGTTAAAAGTCATTAATAATCTAAAATTGCATCACTGTACTCGCAGTAATCCAGCGCGCACGTGTTATTGCAGTCTCCTGTTTAAACTCAAAATCACACACACAGGAGGACATCTCTGTAATTATACCCAAACTAACAGCAGTGCTCGTAAACAACCCTGCATTTTAAACTAATCCACACCAGACCACACACACACCTCAACTTACATTCCTACCCTAAATTCTATTACATAATACGGTTACTTATGGATTCATACAACAGATGGGACATCACAGAGCCTGTCAGTACATAAACACTCTGATCAAGTTCCTGGCCATAATATTCAACTTCTGTCCTAAACCAGAACCAACGTATCAAAAGTAAGATGTTTAAAAGTTTCTATTTATCTTTTTTTTTTTTTTTTTTTTTTTACTTCTCTTTTCATGTTATGTAACTGCAGTAGCTCTGTATATATATATATATGAGTGTGTGTGTATGTTTCCACTCCCAAGCATCTTTGGGAGCAAATGGTTTCCAGCTGCCAGAGCCAGTCTTATTTCCAATGGTGAAACGGTGACACTATACGTTTGTCTGCCTTTTGCTCACTTCCTAAACCCTGCAGTCTCACACTTAACCCATTCAACATGCTTCTCGACAAACTAATGACACATTTCAGACAGATAATATTGCATTTGTCTCATGTCTGAAGGCCATTTTCTTCACATAAATGGTAAAAAGGTGCAGAAAGAACAAAGATTAGACAATGTAAAAATGTAACCAGGGGCCCACAGCAAGATTAAAAGCATGTCCAGATGGAATCTTGTCTTTTTTGTGATAAATATCTGTGGAATTGATTTAAATGTGTTAAAGGGAGCAACTGGCCTGCCATTCTAAAGTTCAAATTAGTTGAAAGCTGCGTCCAACTATGCCTACCTCCATAGGCGATAAACAGTATGTGAGCCGAACTCATAATATTCATGAACAGTATTCATAAAAGAGTGGGCTAAAAGTACCCGGATGACCTTCTACTTCCTGTGAGATTCTAAAGTGTGCAGTCAATAGACACCTTTCTGTCCCATGAGGCCAAAAGAGGATTTGTGAATGGCAGTGAGGAGATGCAATTGACGTCATAGTGGATGTAGTACGTCCGAATTTCATTCATAGTACACACATTCATTCTATATAGATTGTAGTTTTTCCAACAGTCACAAACTAAGTTTAAAACTAAATACAGTATGCCATTTTGGACACAGTGTAGATATTTCATGAGCACACAAGGGGCGGGGCTTGTGGAAATTTGTGATTGACAGCAGGCGTTCAGTTTCAGGCCCGGTTGAAAATGTTGAGTTAAACAGCTACATAAGTTCAGTCACATTCCAGGAAGCTGTTAACTGTAAAGTCTCCAACTTTCTTTAACCAGTTTTGACTGTTGTGAGGGATTTATGTTGGAGCGACGGATTACAGTTAAAAAACAAGACAGGAAGTCCCGCCCACACAGCCCATAGGGCATTTCCTCTGCACCTGGTAATGAGAAATGCCCCTGTGGCAGGTAACAGACATCAAAGATGTTCAGAGTGAGAGCTAGTGTCTTGACTGAGTTTATTTTACAGCATATCTGGTGTAAAAAAAAATATATATATATTCAAAATTGTGCCAGAACGTTGTCCAACAAGTAAAAGGTTCTCCCACAGTTCTCCTCCTCCCTCATACTTGCTGTATCAAACACACTGTGGTACATGTGTGAGTGATGTTTTGGTTACGCTGAACCAAAGACCTGAGGAAAAATTACCTACTTGAGTTACAACATGCCTTGAAGATGCAAATGTTTCTCAGTCAGTAAGAGCAGATTTCCACACAGTATAGAGACGGGAGCAGATAAAGGACACCGGAAGTGCTATAATCTAATGGGAATTGTTATGATTTAGCTACTGTAATCATGATTGACTATGAGCGTTAACAGTTGTAATGTGTTATACTCCAGTATGTGTGTATGAACTCTCAGACTCACCCCTGAGGCTAAAGGAAAGGTGCACTGAATCAATCTGACAGCATGAGTCACTGCTAAAGACACTTTTCACATATACACACACACACACACATATACCACATACTAAGAGCACAATCAAAAAGTTTGGGGTCAGTTTCTTTTTTTTTTAATTATTACTTTTATGTCACAAGGACACAATAAATTTAACAAAAGTGACAGTAAAGACATTTATAATGTTACAAAAATAAATACAGTTCTTTTGAACTTTCTATTCATCAAAGAATCCTGAAAAAAATGTATTATTAAAAAAAACAGCACAATTGTTTTCAACATTAATAATAAAAATATTTTTTTCTTGAGAACAAAATCAGCATATTAGAATGATTTCTGAAGGATCATGTGACTGAAGACTGGAGTAATGATGCTGAAAATTCAGCTTTGCATCACAACAACTAATTATATATTAATTATAACATAAAGCATGTAATCAATTGATGACAGAGAGAGGAGGAAGGAGGAGAAAGGGGTGTGAATACTCATAAATGGCGATGTCTTGAACTGTGCCCACATTAAACGGAACAGTCAGAGTTTAGTTTGTCACTAATGAATGGTTTATCTCATTTCTCTCGATCTCTCCCTCTCTCTTTCACTCTTTTTTTCATACCCATGGGTGACATTCACAAATGTGCTTTGATCTGCTGCCAGACAGCACAAAGCGTACTCCAGGGAGATGAGAGAACGAAGGGAAGGGAAAGGAGGAGAGAGCGAGGAGGAGTAAATGGATTTCAGTTACTGTAAGTCTTTAAAAACTCCAGATCCCTCAGGGATCTCTGGAAAAACAGCAGCCCAAAGCCTGAACCCATCTGACAATACGATACGATAGATAGAACGATAGATAGATAGAACGATAGATAGATAGATAGATAGATAGATAGAACGATAGATAGATAGAACGATAGATAGATAGATAGATAGATAGATAGATAGATAGATAGATAGATAGATAGATAGATAGATAGATAGATAGATAGATAGATAGATAGATAGATAGATAGATAGATAGATAGATAGATAGATAGATAGATAGATAGATAGATAGATAGATAGATAGATAGATAGATAGATAGATAGATAGATAGATAGATAGATAGATAGATAGATAGATAGATAGATAGATAGATAGATAGATAGATAGATAGATAGATAGATAGATAGATAGATAGATAGATAGATAGATAGATAGATAGATAGATAGATAGATAGATAGATAGATAGATAGATAGATAGATAGATAGATAGATAGATAGATAGATAGATAGATAGATAGATAGATAGATAGATAGATAGATAGATAGATAGATACGATCATCACACCAGAAGACAGATCAACAGCCCACACAACCTGTCTAGGCTGACAAAGTTTCAGAGAGCTTGTGAAAAAGTTGATTTAGTGCTTTAAGAACATTCCTTTGACTCATCACTCTGTGTCGCTGAGGATGACCCTACACCCGGTGTGAACTTTGACTCCTCACCCGAACCCTTCCTGGACGACCCGCTCAGAGCACTGTGAGCGTCCGGCAGAGAGGACTCACACTCATCCGTCTAAGCATCTGTCTTTTTCTGCACTGTTGTCTATTGCTGTGCTCGTGTGTCTCTGTTGCTCTGTCTCTTCTCAAAGGCTGACTCTCATCCATCAGCCTGAGGATTCCTTCTCTTTCTGACCCTCTGTCAATACTGAACTCACTCTTTCTCTGACCTCTCATTCAATCCCTCATTCACTTCTTTTTGTGTCCTCTGTCTCCATTGAAGCAATGGCGCTGCCTCTTGTTTCCCTCTACTTGATCAGTTGCTTACTGCCTTATGATTGCAAAAAATAAGTTTCCTGATTGAGCTTTTAAGGCCTGTTCATATACCCAGTGCAATAAAACACATTTTTAGATGCATGTTCATTTTTGTGCCTTGCTTTGTAAAGAAAATGTAAAGAGTTTAATAATTAATATTTTTTAAATAATTTTACAATAAATATTACAACAAATGATATATTAAAATTTTAATTGTAATAATATTTGTATGTAAAATTTGTTTACAATAAATAAAAAAACCTTTTAAACTTTAAAATCATTAGGCTACTTTATTTTAATTATAATATAAAAAATACATTTACAATATTTTGTGTTGGGTCAGAGAAAATTGACTGGGCA